CCCTACTTAATACCCATCACCCAGTTACCCCATCCCTCCACCAGCCTCCCCTCCAGCAACCCTCAGTTTGATTCCTAGAGTTAAGAGTCTCTAATGGTTTGTCTTCTTCTCTGTTTTCATCTTATTTTATCTTCCCTTCTCTTCCCCTATGTTCGTTCATCTGTTTTATTTCTTAAATTCTACATATGAGTGAACTCATATGGTATTTGTCTTTCTCGGACTGACTGACTTCTCTAAGCATAATACCCTCTAGTTCCATCGATGTTGTAGCAAAAGGCAAGGTTTCATTCTTTTTTATGGCTGAGTGATACTGCATTATGTATAAATATATATTTATATATAAATATATGAATATCACAAATAAATATAAATATATATAATATAATGTAATATTACATTATATAAAATATACTTTTATATAATATAAATATTATATATATATATGGCTCTTTCCATAGTTTGGCTCTTGTGGACATTGCTGCTATAAACATTGGGGTGCATGTCCCCCTTCTGATAACTATTTTTGTATCCTTTGGATAGATACCTAGTAGTGCAATTGCTGTTTGATAGGATAGTTCTATTTTTAATTTTTTGAGAAACCTCCATACTGTTTTTCAGAGTGGCTGCTCCAGTTTGCTTTCTTACCAGCAGTGTAAGAGGGTTCCCCTTTCTCCACATCCTTGCCAACATCTGTCATTTCCTGAGTTGTTAATTTTAGCCATTCTAACCAGTGTCAGGTGGTAGCTCATTGTGGTTTTGACTTGTATGTCCCTGATGCCGAGTGATGTTGAGCATTTTTTCATGTGTCTATTAGTCATTTGTATGTCTTTAAAGAAGTTTCTGTTCATGTGTTCTGCCCATTTCTTGACTGGGTTTTTTTTTGTTTTTTGGGTGTTGAGTTTGATAAATTCTTTATGTATTTTGGATACCAGCCCTTTATCTGATAAGACATTTGCAAATATCTTCTCCCATTCTGTTGGTTATTTTTGGTTTTGTTGACTATTTCCTTTGCTGTGCAAAAGCTTTTTATTTTGAAGAAGTCCCAGTAGTTCTTGTTTGCCTTTGCTTCCGCTTGCCTTTGGAGACCTGTCCAGCAAGAAGTTGCTGTAGCTGAGGTCAAAGAGGTTGCTACCTGTGTTCTCTTTTAGGATTTTGATGGATTTCTGTCTTGTATTTAGGTCTTTCATCCATTTTGAGTTTATTTTTGTGTATGGTGTAAGAAAGTAGTCCAGTTTCATTCTTCTATATGTGGCTATTCAATTTTCCAAATACCTTTGTTGAAGAGACTGTCCTTTTTCCATTGGATATTCTTACCTGCTTTGCTGAAGATTAGTTGACCATAGAGTTGAAGGTCCATTTCTGGGTTCTCTATTCTGTTCCATTGATCTGTATGTCTGTTTTTGTGCTAATACCATAGTGTCTTTACTACAACTTTGTAATAGAACTTGAAGTCCGGCACTGTGATGCCACAAGCTTTGGTTTTTCTTTCAACATTCCTTTGGCTATTTGGGGTCTTTTCTGGTTCCATACAAATTTTAGAATTATTTGTTCCAGGTCTGTGAAATATGTCAGTGTTATTTTGATAGGGATTGCATTGAATGTGTAGATTGCTCTGGGTAACATAGACATTTTAACAATATTTGTTCTTCCAATCCATGAACATGGAATGTCTTTCCATTTCTTTGTGTCTTCCTCAATTTCTTTCATAAGTGTTCTATAGTTTTCAGAACACAGATCCTTTACCTCTTGGGCTAGGTTTATTCCTACACATCTTATGGGTTTTGGTACAATGTTAAATGGGATCAATTCCTTGAATTCTTTTTCTTCTGCTTTATTGCTATATATAGAAATGCAACTGACTTCTGTGGATTGATTTTATATCCTGCAACTTTGCTGAATTCCTGTATCAGTTCTAACAGTTTCTTGGTGGAGTTTTTTGGGTTTTCTACATAGAATATCATATCATCTGCAAAGAGTGAAAGTTTGACTGCTTTGCCAATTTGGATGCCTTTTATTTCTTTTTGTTGTCTGATTGTTGAGGCTGGGACTTCCAGTACTATGTTAAACAATAGTGGTGAGAGTGGGCATCCCTGTTGTATTCCTTACCTTAGGGGAAAAGCCCTCAGTTTTCCCTGTTCAGGATGATATTTGCTGGGGTCTTTTGTATATGGCTTTTATGATACTGAGGTATATTCCCTCTATCCCTACATGGCAAAGAGTTTTTTTTTTTTTAGTCAAGAAAAGATGCTGTATTTTGACAGATGCTTTTTCTGCATCTATTGAGAAGATCATATGGTTCTTGTCCTTTTATTAATGTAGTGTGTCACGTTGATTGATTTGAGGATGATTTGAACCACCCCTGCAGCCCAGGAATAAACTCCACTTGGTTGTGGTGTATAATCATTTTAGTATACTGTTGGATCCTATTAGCTAGTATCTTGGTGAGAATTTTTACATCCATGTTCCTCAGGGATATTGGTTTGTAATTCTCCTTTTTAGTGGGGTCTTTGTCTGGTTTTGGGATTAAGGTAATGCTAGCCTCATAGAATGAGTTTGGAAGTTGTCCTTCCACTTCTATTTTTTGTAACAGTTTCAGAAGAGTAGGTATTAATTCTTCTTTAAATGTTTGGTAGAATTTCCCTGGCAAGCCATTTGGCCCTGGACTCTTGTTTGTTGGGGATTTTTTTTTTTTTTTAAACAAGTTCAGTTTCTTTGCTGGTTATGGATCTTTTCAGGTTTTCTATTTTTTCTCCTCTCAGTTTTGGTAGTTTATATATTTCTAAGAATTTATCCATTTTTTTCCAGATTACCTTTTATTGGCATATAATTTCTCCTAATATTCTCTTGTAATTGTATTTCTTCAGTGTTTCTCTTTTCTTTTTGATAAGTCTGGCTAGTAATTTTATTGATCTTATTAAATTCTTCCAAAGATCCAGCTCCCTAGTTTCACTGATCTGTTCTATTGTTTTTTATTTTTAAATTTCTGTATCATTGATTTCTGCTGTAATATTTATTTTTTCTCTTCTCCTGCTGGATTTAAGCTTTATTTGCTGCTCTTTTTTGAGATCCTTTAGGTGTAAGGGTAAGTTGTGTATTTGAGATTTGTTTCTTGAGGAAAGCTTATATTGCTAGATACTTCCCTCTTAGGACTGCCTTTGCTGCATCCCAGAAGTTTTGAACTGTTGTGTTTTCATTTTCATTTGTTTCCATGAATTTTTAAAATTCTTCTTTAATTTCCTGGTTGGCCCACTCATTCTTTAGTAGGATTTTATTTAACTTCTCTTTCAAATTTTTTCTTGTGGTTCAAGTTTTATAGCATTGTGGTCTGAAAATATGCATGACATATGATCTCAGTCTTTTTGTACTGGTTGAGACCTGATTTGTGATGTAGTATGTGGTCTGTTTTGGAGACTGTTGCCTCTGCATTTGAGAAGAATGTGTATTCTGCTGCTTTAGGATGTGATGTTCTGAATATATCTGTGAAGTCCATCTGGTCCAGTGTGTCATTCAAAGCCCTTGTTTCCTTATTGATCTTCTGCTTAGATGATCTGTCCATTGCTGTGAGGGGGAAATTTGAAGTTCCCTACTATTATGGTATTATTATCAATGAGTTTCTTTAACTTTGGTATTAATTGCTTTATATATTTGGCTGCTCCCAAATTAGGGGCATAAATATTTATAATTGTTAGATCTTCTTGTTGGATAGACCCATTTATTATGATATAATAAATATAATCATCTCTTTTTACATTCTTTGCTTTAAAGTAATAGTTTGTGTGATACAAGGATGGCTACTCCAGCTTTCTTTTGATGTCCATTAGCATGATAAATGGTTCTCTACCCTGTCACTTTCAATCTGGAGGTGTGTGGGTCTAAAATGAGTTTCTTGTAAGCAGTATATTGATGGGTCTTATTTTTTTTTTTAATCCATTCTGATACCCTATGTCTTTTGATTAGAGCATTAAGTCCATTTACATTTAGAGTAATTATTGAAAGATATGATTTAGTGCCACCCAGGCACCCCTACAATGTATTGCTTTTATGAAATTATGAATGATGTTTGTATATGTTCTTTGGAGATAGAGGTATTTTGCTATAGTTACATTGAATTTAAGAGATGACCTTAACAAATTTGTGATTAGGATCATTCTTTAATTTACTTTTAATATCATTTGATGTTTTACTAATATAAGGCCCAGAAAATTCTCCTCATAAAATATTTAAAAGGTGGTGTTTAGCTAAGTTTACTTATCAAGTACTTAGTTGAAGGTAGGCTTTTTTTCTTCTAGATAGCTTATTTTGTTTAGTAGGGAAGATCCTTCCAATGTTAAATAATAGAGAAGTAGTAGCAACTTGCATTTATTTATTCATTTTTTAAAAGATTTTTTATTCATTTATTTGACAGAGATCACAGGTAGGTAGAGAAGCAGACAAAGAGTGAGGAGGAAGCAGGCTCCTTGCCAAGCAGAGAACCCAATATGGGGCTTGATCCCAGGACCCTGGGATCATGACCTGAGCTGAAAGCAGAGGCTTTAACCCACTGAGCCACCCAGGTGCCCCACAACTTACATTTATGCAATGTGCTGGATTTGTAAAATGCTTTTCCCTCAATGCCTGGGAATAGACAGATTTTTGGAGTTGATGCTTGCTTAGTTAGAGGGGACTGTATAATTTGTTTTTTGAGGGAAGGTTTCATAGACTCCTTACAGAGTGATGAACACAGTGGTCTCTCCAGAGAAATAAAGTTATGCACACAATGGCATTTTCATAATTCTGGGGAAACCTCAGAAAGTCTGTGGATTTTAGGTTGAGAACTCTTGAATGCAGATGTAGACCTCTGATGTCTCTGAAAGAGAGGAGTATTTTCTGATTTTCAAAGTATAAAGGGAAGCACTGTACTGAACTCTAAGTGGAAATGTGTATTTGTTTTCATTTTATATGTCTTCTAATTCACTTATCCTAATAATGGTTTTTGTTTCTGAATTTTGCTTCCTCTGTAGCATCTGGAGCATAAGAACAGTGCTTATTTTCTTCTTTTCCAAGAGAACAGAAAGAAATAGTAAGTTTAATTTCTAAATTCTTATAAATACATTTAAAAAACCACTTTCTGATAGTGCATTGGTTTGTAACTGAATGGTAGGTTGTGAAGCGGTGTATTGAAATGAAAATCTTGTAAATATTGAAGGGTTGTTTACTATCAAGCATTTTGAATAATCAAGAGGATTCTCTTTGTGTTATTTTTGTCTTGTTCATTCAGAATTTTTTTACACAAAATAACTAATTTCATTAATTCATCTCTTAAATTGAGAGAAATTATTTGTTAATCTTTATGCAAAACTTACATTATTATAGAGTAGAATATACTTAGACATCTTTTGATTTGTACTATTAATTGTACCATTCTCTTTAACCTCATAGCTCCTAGGCTTGTTTTTATGGAAATATGCAAATTGTGATAATATTTCCTTCTGTATTCTGTGTATGTATAGATTTTCAAGATTTTCAGGTCTTAAAAGTATGAGTTATAATTTAACAAATGTATATAAATTTTATTTAAATGAACTTTATATGTGACTTCTTTATTCTTTTCTTGTTTAACTTTTCACTGTGGAAAATTTCATATACAAAATTACATACGCAAAAGGAGGGTAAATAGTATAAGTCCTCATATACCTATCACACAACATAAACAACCATCAACTCATGGTCAGTCTTGTTTAATTTTTAACTCTATCTACTTATCTACCTACAGTATTATTTTGAAGTATATCCTAGTTATATCTATCTATGACAGACTTTAAAAAAAATACATTATATAGTACATTATCATTAATGTAATATAATACATTATCCTATCTGAAAAGGAATTCTTAATATCATAGAATATTAAACATATTTTGTTTGTTTAATTCAAGATCCAAATAAGGTTCATACAGATACATGACTTTCAAACTGCCCCCCTGAGTTAAGGCTTCTCTCCAACCTGGTTTAGGCTCACTGGGCTAGCCCAGTGACCATTCCTTGCAGATACCTTTGATTCCTTTGCCCCTCTTTTGCATCCTACTTGTCTGGCAAAAACTGTACCTTCTTTAAATACAATTATATGCTTAATCTGTGACTGGCAAGACTCTATCCTCGTTAAAACTTTCATAAGATTGATCTGTCCTTCCATCAGAAACACTAAATTTATTAGAGGAAAATCATACAGCATACTGACCAGACTTTTTTTTTTTTCAAAGATTATTTATTTATTTATTTATTTGAGAGAGAGAACATGAGTTGGCGGGCTGCGGAGGAGCAATGGGAGAGGGAGAAGCAGACTCCCTGCTGATCAGGGATCCTGATGTGGGGCTCAGTTCCAGGACGCTGGGATCATGACCAGAGCCAAAGGCAGATGCTTAACTGACTGAGCCACCTAGGTGCCCCTGACCAGACTTATTTTAAATCTATATTGTAAATATTAAATGTATACTCAGTACTGTTGCACAGTCCTATTTCATAGTTTCTTAGAAAGTTCACTTTTTTCTCTTTAAGAGTATTTTTTGAGATGGTATTTCTCTTCAAATAACTAATACCTGCCTTCCTGCAAATAAACAAAAACCAAACCAAAATAAAACCAACCAATCAACCAACCAAATAAAAATTCAAAATTCACAAACAAGCAAAACCCCACAAAAATCTACCTGGTCACTCTCATGTGTTAGTCTCACTTTATGGAGAAAATAGATAAAAACAGATGAGAGCTACCTCCACCACCAAATATATCAAGTTAGCTCCATCTGTTAGTCAGTGTGTTGTCATCCTTCTGTGGTAGTCTGGAAGACTGACCTTGATTCCGTCTATGGCTAAGCTCTCCATTTATGCTTTGGATTTTGGATATTCTGGCCATCTCAAGAACATTGTTCTTGCAGTTATCTCTTCCTGCCATTATCCTCTTTTGTATTAGCTATTTCTATTTGGTTGTCTCTATTGGTATATAATCTCCCTTCCATATAAACAACTGGGGGGAAATCCCTGTCCTGACTTCATATTCCCTTTAATCTACCATGAGTTTCTCTCTCCCCTTCAAAGTCCTGTCATCTCTACCTCCAACATTATTTCAGATCTGACCACTTGTAACCAGCTTTACTATTACTACTGTTCTAATTCAGGTGATCATCATCTCCTACTTATACTAGGAGTGGCTTCCTAAGTAGTCTATTTTTGAGGTATATTTAGTCGTGTCTTTTCTGTTTCAGATTCTCTATTGATTTCCTGTGGCAACTAGAGTAAATCTGAATTATTTTATCCTACTTTCTGGCTTATGCCCATTCTCTAACTTCATCTCTTCCTAATTCTACGTTTTAGCTTTTGCTCCAGCCACATTGGCTGTCTTTTTGTCCTACAGATAAGTTTTAATTCTCTGAACATCAGTTTCCTAACTTGTAAAGTGGAAACCTATATTATCATCATCATAAACATAAAATGTTTAGGATGGATTATTATGAGTATTAAGTGAAACTATATGCCAAAATATATAAAAATTGCAAAGTGTTAATATACATATGGGCTGATGGTGCTGATTTTTCTTTTCTGTTCCTTATTCTTTTTTATTTTTCTTGTTTTTTAAATTTTTCTTGTCTTATTTAATGGGTTAGGACTCAGTATAATAGTGAATTGAAGTGGGAATAGCAGATTCCTTGTCTAGTTTCTGATTCTCAGTGGAAAAGCTTTTAATTTTTATCATTAAGTATTATGTTTGCTGTGGTTTTAAAAAATATTGATACTATCATATTAAAGAAAATAAGCATATGATGTTGTTTCCAGTGATATTTGATAGTATGGTAAATACCAGGAGGACAGGAATAAGTTTAAAACAAATATGTTCGCTGACCTCATAGAAATAGTAGAAAATATAAGAAAACTTATTTTAAAAGAGTGCTTGGAAACACTTTTTTCTAAGGAAATTAAATGTATGAATATTTTAACTTACAAATAGGCACATCAGGACATGGTTATTATATAAAGGGGTTGCATTGAAAATTTACTTCAGGGATCCTTTTATTTAAAAAAATCTAATTCATTTGAATAGGTATTACATGTACATTTAAAATAGACATCAGAAAAGATTATCTTACTGTCCTACAAATATATTTTTTTAGCATCAAGTCAGCCTGAAGCTATTGATTGTGTCCTTGTTTTTTGTTCTGTATTAGTTTTATTTCCTTTGTTTTTTGCTTTGGACATAGTATAGATTAAGGGTTGGCAAACTATAGCCTGTGGGCCAAGTCCTGCCCACTATCATGTACAGGTCATGATTTAAGAATGACTTTTAGGGGTGCCTGGGTGGCTCAGTTGGTTAAGTGGCTGCCTTTGGTTCAGGGTCCTGGGATTGAGCCCTGCATCAGGCTTCCTCCTCCCCAACGAGCCTGCTTCTCTCTCTGCCCCTCCCCCTGCTTGTGCTTCTCTTTCTCTGTCAAATAAATAAATAAAATCCTAAAGAAAAGAATGATTTTTACATTTTCAAATCATTGAATAAATTCAAAAGAATATTTTGTGACATTACATTTATATGAAATTCAGATTTCTGTTTTTACTGGATCAAAACGCTGCCCATTCATTTAAATGTTGTCTGTAGCTGCTTTCATCCTACAGTGGCAGAGTTAAGTACTTGTAGCAAACTGTATGTGGTGCTCTCATCTCAACACTTGAGACTGTTGGAGAATGTATAACAAATGACACAAATTTATAACTTGACCTTTCATGTGCCATATGTATTGTGACAATTTTATTTATTTTTTTAAATTATCAATGCATACTCAACATGTAAAAACAACAAAAGAAGAGAAGATTGGACTTGGAATGTTGCATTTTTAGGGCATAGTGGACTGTGCTAAAAGAATACAAATACATTGACATTACCATATTAAGTACTCATGATACTCCCAACTCACAGAAAAGCAATGGTCAGAAAAAGTAAAACATTTAAAATGGAATATCTCATCATAGCTGAATTTCTTCATAAAAATTAAAAGTGAAAATGGAGCTTCAATCCAGTAAGTTTCTGGGTGGCTTATTAGTGAAGCAGGGAAAGCCATTTATTTACCAATGGTGAATTAATTGAATTGTGTTTGATTGCAGCAGCTGAACAAAATGTGTTCAGAGAAGGTATACTTGCTTAGTTAGTAAGTAGCCTTTTGGCATGAACAATTTGAAGAACTGAGAATATTGGAAGCAAGATAGTTAATTTAAAAACATGGCAAATGATTCCAAGTGATCTTCCTTGGCTCTGATACTGCTCAATTGTAGTTTATTTGAGGAATCAATTTTGAGCTTGCAGTTACTGAATTAACTTCTACATAAAATCTCTATAAAACAACTGTAGGACAGAATATCTTCAAAGTTGAAAAAACACCAGTTCAGTACAACCTGAAGTAGAATCTGCTAAGGTGTGTTATAAATATTGGTGGTAGAATATTTCCAAAGAAGATATACACATGGCCAACAGACACATGAAAAGGTACTCAACATCATCAATCATCAGGGAAGTACCAATCAAAACTACAATGAAATACCATCTCACACCTGTTAGAAAGGCTAAAATCAAAAAGATAAGAAACAAGTTTCAGTGAGAAAGAAACCCTTGTGCACTGTTGGTGGGGAAGTAAATTGGTATAACGGTTGTGGTACAGCCGTTGTGGAGAATAGTTTGGAGGTTTCTCAAAAAATTAGAAATAGAAATACCATATGATCCAATAATTCAACTAGTGGGTATTTACCCAGAAAAAATGAAAAAAAAACAGACTAGAAAAGATATATGCATCCCTGTATTTATTGCAGCATTGTTTACAATAATCACAGAAGTAACCAAAATGCCTATCAATAGACAAATGGATAAGGAAAATGTGCTGTGTATGTAAATATAACATATACTATGGAATATTACACAGCCATAAAAAAGATAAGACTGCCATTTGAGACAACATGGAAAGACCTAGAAGGTATTATGTGAAGTGAAATAAGTCAGACTGAGAAAGACAACATATGATTCTACTCATAAATGGAATCTAAAAAAAAAAAAAAACAAAAAGCAGAATCAGACCTGTAAATACAGAGAATAACTGATGATTGACAGAGGAGAGGAGAGTGGGAGATTGAGCAAAATGGTAAAGGGGGGAGGGAGATATAGGCCTCAAGTTATGGAGTGAGTAGGTCATGGGAATAAAAGGTACAGCATAAGAAATACAGTCAGTGATACTGTAATAGTGATGTAACAGGACAGATGGTAGCTACACTTGTGAACATATAATGTATAAACTTGTCAAATCACTAAGTTGTATATCTGAAACTCATGTAGCATTGTGTGTCAACTATACTAAAAAAATGTGGGAAGCAGAAAAAGGCTTATTTGGATCAATGTACAAACTTGTGAAATTGTAAGGTGTTTAAATTTTGTGGTTATTCATTGTGTTATGTGACAGCGGGTACTTTGACAAGTGTAATTGAACCTACCATGTGTTATTAAATTAGTAGTGTCAATGGGAACTTCATTTACGCTCATGAACTTAACCATTGTCAATTATGTGAACTTTAATCAGAAATAGAAGCTGACTATCATAACCTGCCCAGCCCCACAGCAGTTTGATGGCTCAGCAGTGGTAAAGTTTTATTGTGATATTTTGAGCTCAGAGCCTAGAGTGTAATATTTCTGCATGCAAAGAATCACCTTCAACCACTGTGATTGAATGCTGACTGGCTTTGGAAAATTAGCTTTTGCTGCAGAGTTGATAATGGTTCTTAATGAATTCAACCTAAGATTGCAAGACAAAACAGTCCTTATGTGCAAAACCTATACGCTATAAAGTCATTTCGGAAACAAATATCATTGTAATAACACAAAGTAATTTTTAAAAAAGACTGTGAAAAGTTAAAACAAGAAGCACAATTTCCATTCCCCCAGAAATTTGCATCAAGTATGTGATCGGAGCTCAAACAATAGTTCCAGCAGTGTTTTTCACACTTGATCTTAGCCAAAAGAGAAGCAATCCAGCAGTGATTTTCAGACTTCAAGAAATGCAAATGGAGTTTCCATATTGCAGAATCCACTTAACTATACAATTGAGGAGCTTCCACTTATTTTCAATTGGAAGTGATTAATTTCCAATGTAATGATAAAAAAAGGCAAATATCAATAGAAGAATTAAAGAATTCTATAAATGCTTTCCAATCAATGAATATCCTCAGTTAAAATCATGTGCTTGTTGATTGATTTCAGTATTTAGCAGTACCTATACATGTGAAAAAACATTTTCAAAAGTCAAATGTGTAAAATATCATGACAGATCAACATTTGCAATTGGTTTTGATGATAGGGAACAGCAACTTTGAACCTCATTTAAGTGAAATGTTTTCTACTCACCCAAAAGAAAATAATTTTATTCTTTTCAATGATAGACCTATGTTACAAAAAATTGAACTTAATTATTATTACATTTTGAATTTTGTCAGTAAAGATTTATGGAAATTTGTTCATTCTTTTGCTTTAAAAGTACTTGATTTTGCCTTTTGGCCTATAATGCTAATATTTGCTGTCTGTCCCTTTTTGGAAAAAATTTTCTGACTTCTGGATTAAGGAATAAATATTTCATTGCTCTTCTCTATAGATGACTACTCTTTTTACACATGTTAGCAGACTTTTTTTTCCCCTTTAGTAGTAAGTTGGCTAACACATTAAAAACTAAAATATTGAAAAATTATAGTAAAGTCTTTGTATAAGTTTGTCTTTGGATTTTTACATAAATAGTATACTTTGATTTGGGTATTCAGATGTTTGCTATCCTGGAACTTTAATGAAGAAATAATAATTTTATTTGTAAATTTAACTAAAAATTATTAATTACTTAAATTCTATTTGATAAAATGTTTAGGTCTTTTTAAATTTTGAAAGGTGTTTTATTCTATGTAAAGTCAATTTTTCACTACTTAGCTTTGAAATATATAGGCAACATTATGAAATATATATGTGTGAAGATTGAGATAATTTTTATCTGTACACATCAGTGAGAAATTCTAAAATAAGACCGTTTCCTTGTGGTTGCTTAATATATATCTTTTGGCATACTGTTTTTAAGATATCTAAGTATCTTAATATCTGATTTAGCTTTGATTTAAATCTTGTTTTCTAGATGAAGCATTGGATGATTTAAAATCCCAGAAGAAAAAAATAGTAAGTTAACTTATTTAAAAATTAATTTATGTAAAACAAATAGATTAAGAACTGAATAAACAATGTTTATCTTTTATATGTTATGACCATCCAAGTAACAAGTATGGATAGCATTTTAATGATGAAGCTAAATTATGAATATTTTTGCTAATTAATTATGATTGACAGGAAAAAGTAGTTATGTGGACTTTTTTTTGAGTATGAGAATCTATGCAGTTGTAAGCTGAGAAGCAAGTAAATGAATCATTGGAAGGTTAAATGAGGCAGAGGGGTAAAAAGGTGGGTATCCAGATTGATTATTAGGGTTAAAAAAGGATCAAACATCTACATATGTCACTTCTCAGGTTTTCTGGACAGAATAAGGCTAGGTAAGGGTAGGAGAGAGAGGATCAAGAAGATTGGTTGTAAAAGTGAAATTTAACATGAAAAGGCTAAAGAAAGGGGGAAAGAAAGAATTTTTTTCTTTCATTTTCTATCAGCAGCTCTGATCACATGGGTATCTCTTGTGGGGCCAGTAAAATGTGTCCTTCGGATGTTTGGAAAGGGGACCAAGCATAAGAGAAGAAGGGCCCTAGCTATTTATAGGGTATTATCATACCCTCTAATAAGTGAATTGAACTTGGTGTTTGACTTGAATTTACATATGCCTTTTGTATAATTATTTTTGAAGTATGAAAATGATAATTGATAACAGTGGCTTGTTATGTAGAAACTTAATGAAATTTAATCAGATGCATATGATCAGTGTATTTTAGTGTAACGTAATAAGTAACAATTATGAAACTAATAAAAATTATGAAAGTTAAGATTAGTGTAAAAATTGTTCTTTGAGGGCACAGGGCTGGCTTGGTTGATAGAGCATGCAACTCCTGATCTGAGGTTGTGAGTTCAACCCCCATATTGGGCCTAGAGCTTACTTAAAAAAAGTTGTTTTGTGAATTGGTAGTAAAAGACACTGGTCTTGAGAGTTTAAGTGCTTGAAAAATAAAAGAACTTTAATTGTGAAAGGATTTCTTATTTGTTTGAGCTTCGTCAGTGTTCTATGAATTATTTACCAACATTGCATTGACATTTTTAATGGTCCTGAAACATAGAAATATTCCCTTATATCTTATTATATTTCTTTAATTCCATGCATTATGTAACAGCCATAAACTCAACGTGAGGAAATACTGATAGTTCTCGGTAATATAGAAATTGTGATATGATTAGTTTGGTTTGCTTAAAAAGAAGGGCTGATAGAGGTGATCAGAGCTAAGCCCTCCTTGTATCAAAATGGAGAAATTTTTATTAAAATAGAAAATATAAGAAGGAAGACAAAGAAAAAAAAAAGAAGAAAATTTAAAAAGAAATTTAAGTGAAGAGAATCTGATCCAATATCAGTGCTGTCACATGACCAGAAAGCAGAATCTTGGAAAACAGGTGATTGGGCAAAAAAGAGTAACAGAGCAGACTTGGAAAACTGAAAAGACAAGTTAAGCTATTTACTTCTTTAGTAGCCCTCAAAGGAAGGACAACATAAAGCTGCTTCATCTAGGCCTCACAGTTGGAAAATTCACTTCAGGGCCAAGAGTTGTCTATATCTAAATGGTTCAAGAGGCGTCAATATTACAGAATAGTTTAGTATGCCATATTTCTTGCAGTATGATTTAAGAAAAATAAGTTGGCTGTTCCAACTCTTTTTATTAATTAGGGAACAATTTGCATTGACTTGACTATTGTTGGTTATGACGGTTACTACTGGAAACTTCATCCCTGGACTTTATTACTCAAGCCCTTAACAGAGCTACTTTGTTTGAGTTGCTTTACACTTACTTTGTTTAGAACAATAGGTGTTAAGGGTGAGTTAGTAAAGGAACACAGTGCTTGCTGATCATTTTGCTGGTAATGAGAGGAAAAAGAAGCGGCACTACTTTTGAACAAAAGCTAAATGTAATAAAAATTGATCTTGTTCATGGATGTTTAAGTTTAAACTCTACATTAGCTTTGAAAATACTTTTATTATTAAAATGCCTGTAGGAAAATAACTGTCAGTCCAAAAATATTCAGCTCCTATCCCTCCTCTTTCAATAACAAAATGAAAACCAATTATATTTACTACTTGACATTTTATTAAAGGTGGTTTCCTTAGGGATGCATCTCTTTATTCTGAATAGATTTGTAAAATAATACATAATTCGTATAAGTGTAATTTTAAGATGAACATGAATTATTAATTGATTAAAAAGTTAAATTACTTAGGAAAATTAGTATCTTGACAGCGATTTAAATCTAAGAACTTAATGTAACTATTTACTTATTAAAATAAAACTAAAAATTAACCTCTAATTATCTAAAAAACTCCCAAGTCTTGATGTGTACATTTTGCTATTCAAAAAAAATTCAGCTTTTGAAAAAAAAAATTAGCTTAATAGATAATCCCTTTGCATCCATGAACATTCCATCAGCACAGTTCAAAATCAAGATCCATCAGAACACGAGTCGAAATTTAAGTGTGTTCATGAAAATACTATACTTTTCCAAGAATAGTATTTCTTTTTTTCTTTTTTTTTTTTTTAGATTTATTTCAGAGAGAGAAAGCCTGGGCCAGCTCACAAGGGAGGTGGGGGGTGGGAGATGAGCAGAGGGGGAGGGAGGGGGAAGGGAGGGGGAGAGAATCTCTAAGAAGGCTCCAGAGGCAGGGCTAGATCTCATGACCCTGACATTATGACCTGAGTGAAAACCAAGAATCAACCTACTGAGCTCAACCGACTGAGGTACCCTGGTGCCCCTCAAGAATAGTATTTCTATGTGATAATTCCTTTCTGGCATTTCTCAGGAAATTTGTGTTTTTCTGAATTTTGAGAAAAATCACTTGAGAAATTAGGAACATAAGGGGAAATGTTATAATTCTCTGAGTATTATAGCCTAACAATTAACTACAAATGTTACTGCTTCAAAGAAATCCGCTACTGCCAGTTGAAAGAAAGAGCAAGAAATGCTGACATGCTGAGCTATAGGTTAATATGGACATTTGTGGGAACAGGACAGGAGCATGCAGTAGAGAGGTCTTACAGTCTAATTAATCAGTCAGTCTTGCTTTTGTGGCCATATTATGTTTTATGGGCCCCGTTTCTTGTCAATGGTGAGTTATTCTTACAGATGAGTAATAATAAGCTTATACACATGATATATTTTATGTACAATCCTATGAATGACATTCTATGAAATAAATTTTAGAAGCAAAAGAAGTACTTAAATTAGCAAGTTCAGCATGTAATTCTGTGTAGGGCTGTTGACCTCACTAGAAGTTTCAAATGCTATATTTATATTACCCAATAATTTTTGCTACCATTTTCCAGTATTTGAATATTCACTGTAGGCTACAGATCTTTGTAAATACTTTAACAGAAGAAATGCAGAGAGAAAAGATGTGACTATTATTGTGGAATACTCCTATGTGAGATCAGAAAATGATGTAAAATCTGAACTAGTAAAAACAGTATTGATTTCAGCAGTATAACCAAAATCAGGGTAAGCAGACAGTATTTTCATCATTGTAAAAAAGATGAGTTTAAATAATGCAACATGTACCCTAATGCTGTGTGTTGAAGATGGTTTGGGGCACACTCCTAATAATTTGACGAGTACGAACAAAAGACATTTTTCTATATCTAGAATATTTGGCACAAAGCAAAGATCAAGAATATTGGATAGAGCAATTGATGCTCTTTTAAAATTTTATTTCAAGAATCATAATTTACATATTAAATATTTGTAGGATTACCTTTTAAAATTAAAAATTATTTTCTGACATTTGTATTCATGTTCCCTTCTTTTAGTGTTATCTATGATGAAATGTCTATATCAAGTAGAAATAATTTTTACATGTTATTGAAATCATAATCTTGTCAAAATATTGATTCATAATAAACTATGTTTATTATTTTCTGTTTTAAATAAAAAGCCCTGAAACTTTTAGTATAATTTATCATAGAACAATTTAAAAAATTTAAAAAAATATTATGAAAAACACAATGCAACTTATATTTTAGGGAGTTTTGAGAATCTAATTTTTCATTCCTGAATCCTGGGATGAATATGTTGCGTATTGGAAACACTGCTGTTTTCAGACCCATTCTGTATAATTGGGGTATCACTAACGATTTTGTGTTTTTGTGTTAGGTACTGTTAGAGACTCTTTCTCATACATTATTGTATTTAAAGTGCCTAACAGTGCTATGAAGAAAATATTAGTGTATCTGCCTTACAAAAAGAGAAACTGAGGCCAGTGGAATTGCTCAAAGTCTTTCTACGTAATTAAGAATGGAAGTGTGCTTTGAACCCAGATTTTTTCTGACTTCGGAGTTTAAGGTTTATGTTTTTTACACTGATCAGAATGTCTCTGTTTAAAACAAGTTATTCACCTAAAATGTTGTATGGCTATATGTGTTAATTAAGGAATAATGTGAAAAATTTTTGCTAGAAGTACTAAAGAAAAGGAGAATAGATTTACATCTTTTAGTGCTTTAAAAAATGACTTTATTGAAGATACTTTACATGAACATAGACATAAAAGTGAATACTTGCTGAATAATGTACCAAGTGTTGCAGTCATTTGTTGAAGTTGCATTTTGGTTTTGAGTTTCGTGTGTTGTTTTAAATATCACAGTGTTACCTAATCTTTTTAAGCCTAGCAGTTATCTTCATCTAGATCTGTGTTGTCCACATCAGTGGCCAAAAGCCCCATGTATCTTTTAAATTTACATTGTTTAAAATGGAATAAAACCACAGTTCCATTCCTCAGTTGCACAAGCAACATTTGTCACATATGGCTTAGTGGTTACTGCATTGTGAAGATATAAGCCATTTCCATCATTACATAAAGTTCTATTGCCACAATGTTGGTCTAAAACATTAAAAATTAATTGGATTTAATTCATTGATATTCCATGTAGATTCCTTGTAGACTATGTAGATTTAGGGATATATGATATGTCCTTTTTTTAAAATCTTGATTACCAGTTTTTCTCAACTCTAAAGTTTTCTTTACATTTCCTTTACATTAGAACATTAAACTTGATTGTTTTGAGAATTTATCATAATTTTGAAATAATTAGGAAAATGTTTTATTTTCACTAAACCAAGGTTAAATTATTCATCTAAGCACTTAGCTTCTTAAATGTTGAATTGAATTTTTAATAAGGAACCTATTAACTACTGTTGGGTAGCATATTTTTAACTGTATTTTAAACTTGGTAAATGTGCTCCATGTTGTATTCTAAAATAAATGACCTTTTGAATAAATGTGACATTTAATGAATCTAAGTGGCTGTCATTGGTCACTGAGAAGGAAAAGGTCCCATTCCAATTTTTACAAAGCATTTTCTTCTACACATTAGCTATTTGTCATAATACAACTGTCTTATACTAAAATTAAACTTTTTCTGATACTGGGCCATAACTGCTAAAACGATACTTTACTGGTTATTGCTTTTTAAATTAAACCCTGACTGACTTGAGTGTATTGTAAATAAAATGCTGTAATAATGAACTGTTTTAATTACAGCCCCTAGTGTGTGTATAGAACTCAGTAAAATTTTTACTTAGATTCTTACTGTGTTTTTTCCCCTCTAAAGTTGTTTGAATCTAAGTAAAAAAGGGGGAGTTTCAGCTCTTAAAGTCATTTGAGCAAATTCCATGGCTGTTCTCCCAGTTAGTGAGTTTTCACTGCATTTGCAGCAAGCTAATTGCTTCTGCTAATAAATAATCTAAAATCGATGCTGACAGCAGTTAATTGGCACAGAGATTTTATTTTGTAAAGCTCTTGGCTAACGACCTTCTTTAAATTAATAGCATTAAGTGCTATGAGGAAATAAATCTGAGGAATTGCCTGTCATTTGCTTGTCATGTCTAATAACTTCCAATAATGATGGCTGATAGATTTTTGCACATTCCATTATTGAAGTTGGTGCATGTAATTATTCTCCTCATTATATGTAAACAATTAGCAGTATTTGGTATTTCCTTGCAGTAAAGCTGTTAAATACAAGTAACGTATTAGAGGTTAGAAGCCATTTTAAAATGTAGATTTTAATTATTTGACTGTAGGAAGTCTTTGATGCTATCTGAATATATTGTATGCTGTTTATTTTAAGCATTGTACTTGAACACTTTTGGAATAGGACTTATAAAAGTAAGTCGTGTGTATGTTTTAAAGTGTGATAATTTACAGAAATTTTTGTTTGTAGCTTGAAGAAGTCATGGAAAAAGAAACTTATAAAACGGCTAAATTAATTCTTGAAAGGTTTGATCCAGACTCAAAGAAAGCAAAGGTAAGGTTGTTATATCACTCTAATTTATTATAAATAGTGCATTGTAGTAGGTCACTGTAATAACATTATTGTAATTGACAGGAGCTTGAGCCGCCATCTGCTGGAGCAGCTGTAACTGCAAGACCTGGACAAG